CTTCAGCCGGTGCCGTGTGGGAATGATCGCTCTGTGGGTCTGAGAGGCGCTTTCACAGTCGGTGTGGTTGCCTTGTACTGTAAAACAAGAAGAAAAAGCGGTATGGAAGAGAAACAAATATTTGGAGGATGGAAAATCGGTTTGTGCGTCTCTTTGCTCGGAGATGTTGAGCTGAGATGTGCTGGAAGTTGTTTGTGTTTTGCTACAGCGCGGGACAGTGTACGCTATTGGGTGTAGCATGTGCGCGTTTTCTGTACACTGCGTTTTAAATCTATGATACTTGGCTTTCAGTATGTTCTGAAACATACTTCTTGTTCCACCTGCAGACGTGTGGTGCGCAAATCCATTGCCAGAGTCCTAACTGTTATCAATCAGACCCAGAAGGAGAACTTGAGGAAGTTTTACAAGGTAAGTGCAAACATCTTGCATAGCGGTCTTTTTTGTTTTGCTATTTTCAAATATGTAGTTTGTAGGAAGCAACTAATTTTATAGATTGTTGTTTAAAAGCTTTAAACTGAAGGAAAAAAAATGCTTATTTATGTTCAGTTTTAAAGTTCTCTAGTCATGGTTCCTTTTTAAATATTATTGTAAGATTATCCTGAATTTTGTAAGCTGGGTGTGAATCTGCTTTTGCCAGGAGAGTCTTCTGGGCAGCATCACCTCTTTAGGGTGTAGTGTACTTTCCAGAAGATGCAGTTTCCAGAAATGCAGATATTGTTCTACATTTTAATCATGTTACAGGTGACCAAGGAATTCTTTATCTCAATAAGTTCATAATTTTTAGAATATTTCTTCTTGGGGTTTGAATTATATAGTATGGGGGGAGGGGAGGAACTTTTGAAGAGGCGGTGGAAAACCGGGGCTCGTAAGGTTAGCATTACTTAAACCCCAGTCAAAGCACAGCTGGTACAAAAGTTGGAATCAGCCCGTGTTTCCCAGTGGAGAGAAGTTCTCTTTAACTTTTAGACTATTATGTAGTCCCAATAAAAAGAAGCCTAAAGTACTGCTGCTGATGTCGTTCTTCCAGGCAGCTCGGCCCTGCCAGCTCGTGCGCCTGATTGCTGCCTTGCAGTCTCTCAAACTCAACTTGTGTATTTTTGCAAATAGGGCAAAAAGTATAAGCCTCTTGATCTGCGGCCAAAGAAGACTCGTGCCATGCGACGCAGATTAAATAAGCATGAAGAAAATCTGAAGACCAAAAAACAGCAGCGAAAAGAACGTTTGTACCCTATGCGGAAATACGCCATTAAGGCGTAAAACTGCAGTGTGCTGAAAGTTCTTAATTATACTGGCTGAGTATGTCTCATTAAATAGAATTTTGTTTGGAAGTTGTCACTGGTGGTTTTTTTAGTAGCGGTAGGATAAAGGAATCATCAGCTTTATGAAATTAAATCAGAGGATTCACAGAAAGTTTACTTGATCTTTTATTGTTAATGAAAACACTAACATAACGTGGAGTTTAAGAGCGTTTTCCTCTCTGAAGAACGGGCAGATGAGTACAGATCTGTAGAGATCTCTGTAGAGATCTGTACTCATCAACGTAACATGTAAAAAATACTTAAATTGAGATTGATTTAAAATGGAAACTTTACGCAGATGTTTACAGTGGGTCAGTATTCATCACTTCAGTAGCTTACGAGTAAATGTTTAAAGTTTTTGTCTTGTGCCAGTGTTTAAGCGTTACGGAGATTAACTAATTAGCTGAGGTCACCCGTCTGAGCACCGCTGCCAGCAGCTGTGGTGGGGACTGGCCCGGGGGCTGCCACGGCCTCCTGCCCGGGGAACTTCTTCAGTCTCTGTCGGGAAGCTGGGTTCCGGCGTCACCATCCAGATTTATTCCCACTTGCAGCTGATTTCATCTTGGCAAACAGCTCCTGGCAGTAAGAGGGTGCTCTCGGGGTGAGGGTGAAGGCAGCACCCACCATCCCCATCAGCAGAGGTGCGTTTTGGATAGAGGGTGTTTGGTGTGTCGGTGCCTGGCTGCGCGGGGGGCCTGCGGCAGGACTGCAGGGGTGCTGGCAGGCAGTAACTGCACAAGCTGCAACACTGCCTGATGTGAAGTCTGCAGGCTGACGCTGCACTCGCCCTGGGAGTTACGAGTTCTCCGTACTCCCAAGGTGTTTGCAGTGGCATGCAGGTATTTCTCTTGGATGAGAATGGTCTGACCAGGCGGGTGTTGGCATACAGCATTGCACACTGGGGGGTGGGAAGAGAGGAAGCTTGGTTCCAGTTAAGTGTTAAGAAAATGCAGGGGTGTGATAGTTTCAGACCAAGTGCTCTTTTTGTGCGTGTTTGAAGACTGACGGAGGTCAAATAAAATCAGGAAACTGGACTTGGCAGAAGCTGGTTGAACTGGAAGATTTTACTTCTAAAGTTTCAGGGCACTCCCTGGTCTCACAGCTCCACGCTTTCACCTGTGAAGCACAGAACTAGTTAAATGGTTTGACTTTGTCCCCCACGGAGCTGTTTGGAACTGAAAGATGGGAGTTGCGATCCCAAAGGCCTTTTTTGGTTCTGATGTAAGGAAGAGTTATGCAGCGCTGCTCAAGCGTTAGTGATGCAGCAGTCATGGTTTGTGTTAGTGTAGCTAATACATTCTAACATGAAAAATTCTCTACCCATTAGGGAGTCCTTAGATTGGATCCAGATTCTGTTTAGGAAAAAAGATCTTAATTCTGCTTATGGAACTTAGCATAGATCTGAAGGATTTTTAAGCCTCAAACAAGTTTTAACCAGAGCGAGGTCTAATTACGTGTGGTAAAGTGAATTTCCCATATATTGAGCCGTGACGAGGGATAGCTTTACGATGATGCTAATGCTGGCTGTGTGATGGCTTTGTTAGGAGCTTAGCATGGACCTGAACACGATACGCTTGGCAGCGAAGGAGCCCCGGCCTGGCGCAGCTCTTGGCCCAAGCTCTGCGTGGGTCCCGGCTGCTGAAGCGTGCCGTCAGACAGTGTTGCATGTGGGAACTGGATCCTTTGGCTCGTGTTCACATTACCACAAAGTCAGGCAGGGTTACAAAATGCTTTGTGTTACCGTTTGTGAGTATCCTGCAGTGGCCAGCAGCAAGCTGCTCCTGGAGAAGCATGTGCTTTTCACCCAGCACACGTGGCCCTCCGGAAGAAGGAGCACATGGCTGTGAGAATCCCGGATGCACGCACTCCTGTCCCGGAGCCTGATGTCCGAAAGAGGCGAGGGAGAGGCTGGTGCCCTGCGCTGGGAGTCGGGCAGGCTGGCGCAGGCCACTTCTGGTCGAGCGTACCCGGCTGCGTTTGGGCTTCTCTTTTGCAGAGGTGTGGTGTTACCTCTGTGCTCCTCCAGCAGCACATCTGAGGGGAGCCTGGTGGCTCCTACCAGCATTCCTGATGCAGAAAAACAAACGCAGGTGACGGTGCCCTGCTGGCCTTCCAGAGCCTGGTCTGGGGCGGTGTGAGCTGTGGGCTGCACTGACAATGAAGGCAGGAAGGTGGATACGCTGCAGAGCCTCTGATGACAACATTGGAGTGCGATTCAGGTGAAGCAGCTGCCACCTTCCAGCCCCAGCCAGGAGAGCAGCGGCACTGCCCAGAGGATCTCTCTAAAAGATCCGCCTGTGATCCAGATCACTAACATGCCATTTACTTGTCAGTAACAAGGGGAGAAAAAAAAGAAAAAAGAGAAGAAAAAAACTAATTACCAGGCACTGAACTTCCAAGGAGAAGTCACAGGTTTGAATAGCATCAACGCGTCCAGGGAAGACTCTTAATCGTGTGCCTGAACTGCAGAAAGAAAACGAACAGCAGCTTGAAGCCGATACCTCTGAACATCCTGAAGTTGCAGCCGGGAGGGTTTTGCTGGTGTTTGTGTGTCTACAGTTCTACACACACGGCGCAGTTAGAGATGGAGTCATTCAGGTTGGGAGCCTCCTCTGGGGGTCTGTAGTGCAACTGCCCGCTCAGAGCAAGGCTGCCTTTGGAGGTAAACCAGTTTGTACAACTTCTCAAGTATCTAATGGAGACTTCAGTTAACAATCTGGTGTATTTTCAAAGCTTTTCTGTACACCCTTGTGAACAGAGAACAAAACACAGGGTGCTCAGCTCGGTGCCGTCTCGGCCTGCCCTGCGGCGCAGCACAGGGCTGGGGTGCGGGTTTGCTGCCGAGGGCACGTGTTGCCTCTGCCCCCGGCACAGAGGGGGGTTGTGCAGAGCGCGGAACTGCTCCCTCGGGAGAGGGGACCCTGGCGCAGCGCTCTGCTGTCGGGAGGGGGAGTAGATGACCTGCCAGATACTGTGCTGGGATGCCGGGACTGTGCCCAGAAGCCATCCCCACGCTGAAGCGGGACCTCATCTGCGAGAACACAGTTTGTGCACAGTCCACACCATGTATTTAAGGAGGTAAATGGGTTTCTGGCACCGCACTAAATTCTGGGGCTGAATTACTCCATTCACCTGTAGCAGGGTGGCGAAACCAACCAGTCCGGCCCTTTTGTTGGAATTACCCTGTGCTGTTACAGAAGACATCGCATGGACAAGCAGCCCTTTAAATTAGTGGGAACAACATACTGATTGTCTGAATGGATGCAGGGGTGAGGTGATGGGCTGTAGCGCAAGCTTCCTCCAGGGCGCAGGTGGAGACACTTGCCCTGTGCCAAGAAACCCCTTCCCAAAGCAGGGTGGTCAGCCGTCTGTGCTGGTTCCCACTTTACCTGCCAGCCCCAGAGGACGGCCGTGTGGTCCCAGCTCCCTTGCGGAAGGTGCTGCTGTACAACAGCCGGCTGCAAGCATGTTGGCGGGGGGAGCCAAAACAACGAAGAGCAGAAAACTACGGTAAATGCGTTGGCCCACAGCCTGCACCCGTGCTGTACCGCCCTGGCTCAGCACTGCCGGCTGCGCTCAGGGGCACGTGGAGGAGTACCTGTGTGGCCACGGGGTGCCCCGGCCTGAGCATGGCGGGGAGGGAGAACGTCCAGCAAAGGGTAACCCCCCCGCGGCACCCCGGGGCTGCGCTGCCTTCACGGGGAGCAGGCAGCACCGCAGGCAGCGCCGGCTCTGTCCCCCTCCGGCATGGCGCTGCCTGGGCGTGACATGGGGGTGCTCGGAGCCCCTCTCCTGGGGGACCCCGCCACTCTCCTGCGCTGACCCCGTACAGCTGCTGACGCCGTCCCTGGATTTAGCACCGGTGCTTGCAGAGCGTCAGGGCCTCCAAGGCTCAAACTGTTTATTTTTCCCTTATAACTGAAGATGTCCCTCAGCATTAGAGCAGACTTCCCAGGGAAAGCTGTTCTTCAGCAAATAAATAATTTCCAGGGCGGGGATGAGGGAGGACGAGCGGCTGCGGGGCAGGGCCCGGGGCCGATGCCACTGCGCAGGGAGCCCTGGCCGCTTTTTTTAGCAGGACCAGATGTTTCTCTCTCCAACTCCTCGGCACAGCAGGCGGTGGCCAAGTGCGGGTGGTGTCTCTGGGAGCTGGCAGGACCTGATTCTGCAGCTTGGGCAGGGGCATAGGGGGCAGAGGCAGATGCGAGTCATGCAGGGTCTGGGTGGGAAAGCCCGGGCTCCCCCTGCCTTGGCTGCTGTTTGCTGCGATGGACACAAACCCAATGGACGCACTTCTGGCATTGCTCCTGTCACCTCCCTCCTCTGGGACGGCCCCGTAGCAGCTCTCCTGAGCGCTAAGACAGAGGGCTGACCCTGGTTTCTGCGTACAGCGGGGTGTGCAGGGACTGGCGTGTGGTGGGACGCGCGAGGTGCTGCATGCGGCAAGGAGCCTGGGAGCGACCACCCTGGGCATGTCCAGGTGCCCTCTGCTGCACCGCGCGCCCCGCTCCCCTCCGCGTGCCGGGGGAGAGGCAGCCCCACGTGGCTGCGTGCGAGCGGCACGGCTGGCGCGTCTGGCTGACAACAAGCCCCGTGTTGTGAGTGCCCGGCCTCGCGGGGAAATGCCATGTCCCGCTGGCCACGCAGACGGCCCAGGTCTGCCCGGGGCAGCCACCCGCTCCCTGCCCTGAATGCCCGTTTTGTTGGCCGGGCTGGGGGTGGACTCATCCCCACGCTGCCCCCGGTCCCGCTGCTCCCATGAATACGGGCAGTGTCTGGGTGCAGGCGCTGCCCCACGGACACTGCTCTTGCCATCCTGGGGCCCCCTGGACAAAGGTGGCCCCTGGGCTCCCAGGGGTCGGGGGCTGCTGCGTGCCGGTGCTCCTGGCTCCCTGCCAGCCTGGCCACGCACCCGCGGGGTGATGGAGAAAGCCCCTGTGTAGGGGTGAGCAGAGTGCGGCCATGAGAGCGGCCCACGGGCAGCCCTCTCCTTCCCCCCACGCTGTGCCGTGGGGCGCTGCCGGGGA